CTCCCCCTCCTCCTCCCCCTCTTCCTCTTCCCCCCTCCTCCCCCTCCTCCTCCTCCCCCTCCCCCTCCTCCTTCTCCTTGGCCTCCTCCTCCTTTCCCACTCCCAAGGCTCACCAGACAGTGCCAACTTCCAGCAAGCTTGCCTGGTGTCCAGATTATGACGCGGTGGCACAGTTCCTAGAGACCATCGATTCCCTGTACTTGATTATTTGGATCTAAGGGTTTTCTAGTTCTTCAGCAGCTTCCAAACAAATGTGAGGGACCATTACCTTCTGGTAAGAACGCGGTGACCAGGCACGCAACCCCCGCCACTACATTGCTCGCTGCGAAGGGGAGGCGGCGTCCAAAGCGCTCGATGGTCAGCAAGATCAAGAGAGCCCCTGGCAGTTCCACCACTCCCGAGATGAAGAAATCTATGTAGAGGTTGCCGCCGATGATTCCCAGGCGCATGACCAGTCCCTGATACACCACGGCGCTGGTGAACCTGCAGTGACATTGACAGACACCAGGGAAGAGCAGGTGAGCGCTAACCTCGCCTGACTTGAAGGGAGTGCTGGGCTGTAGGAGTGACAGCAGCTTTAACACCTGTCACAGCTCAAACTTACCAAGCAAACATGAGTATAAGTGTGCACTTCCTCATCTGGGGAGTTCTCACCAGATCTAGAAAGGACGGGTTACTAACTTCCTCGTCGGTGACGGTGATCTGGTAAGAGAAGCAGACTTCAGTGGCAATATGTGGCAAGAAACACCTGCAACAGCACGAGCTTTACTAGCTAGATTCAAACTACAGAATCCAGGGATCCTACTGAACCGACGGGGCTGTTTCATAATTACATCTACAACCCGAGCGTGGAAAGGCTTGCCCTCCGGCACTCGGAATGGGTCAGATTCATAGAGAAGAGGTTTCCCAGTGGAGACTGTTCTCGGGATAATCGCAATTATTTAGGTTAAACTGCTCTGAGTCAACAAGGAGAAAAGGCATGTTCTAAAGTAAGATTGGGGTCCATTTATTGTATTGAGGGAAAATGAGAGCAAACAAGTGTGAGCCAATCAAGTGTTTCTTTATATATTAAATCATCAAGTCTTATTTTGACAAATGAAATAATTAGTCCAAGAACAAGCATCAAGGACCTTATTTTGCTTTCTTTTATCAATAGGAAGCTAGCATCTTTTTGATCCAGGAAAATTCAGCTCATCTCCTTTTGGCCATCCAGAAGATGGTATTGTCCTCAATTCAATTCAGCAAACGCGGTTGCTGGCTGCTGTATACAGGCTCTGCATAGGAAATGCAGCAGAGGAGCAAGGCTGCTGTCCTCCAGTCCAGTCTGCCAAAGGTCCCAGCGCAGCTGCTCACAGCGACCACTGCTCCACATTCCATGTGGGTGGACAGTCTGTACCTCTGCCTGGGCGCCCTTCCCAGTCCTGCTATTAGTCTGCCCCCGGAATTAAATGATGACCCTCAGGTCTAGCTCTACTCCTCAGACCTCCACCAGGGCTCCTCTTATGGGTATGTTCCTCTATCCAGGAGCTCTGGAGCTGGGGGTGGGGAACTGCAGTGTGGCACCAAGCAAAGTGCCCGGTGCTCAACCCATTTGCTAAACATCAAAATCTAGAAGCAACTCAGGAAGCTTCTCAGGGCCTAAGGAGGCTGAGGCAGGAGGATTGCTAGTTCAAAGCCAGCCTCAGCAAAAGCAAGGTGCTAAACAACTCAGTGAGACTCTGGCTCTAAATAAAATACAAAATAGGGCATGGAGATGTGGCTCAGTGGTCGAGTGCCCCTGGTACCTCCCAAAAAAGAAGCCAAGTGCCTGGGCCATACCGGCTTCCCCAGAGTACAGCCTTCAGCTGTGGTCCTTCTTTTAAGCAAGAACCCAGGCTCCTAAAGGCAGGGACTTTCCTGTCTGTTTACTCAACTTGAAATCTGGCCCAGAAGGAATGTAAATCTAGGCACATTTTCCCTAAGACCTCAAGTCCCTCTACCAGCTGTCACAAGAATTTGACTTAGAGCACATCCACACTGATGGGCCCTGTCAATCAATCATCCTAAACATCCTAAAGCAGTCAATGTGTCAACCAAAGCTTGATATCTCATGCCTATGTTTGTGCCAGGCAAAGTCTCACACATACAGCGGAAGACTGAAAATGAATGGTATACCAAGCCACATTCCCCCCTCCATCCTGTGCATTTAAAACACTTGAATTGGGATGTGTCTCACCAATGAACTTATAAGAAAGTAATGCATCAGTTTAAAGAGCATGAGTTTTTCTTACTTGGAACATAAAATGATCACCTTAAAATCAATGTGTTAGAGTTGACAAGACAATAGTTGTTTCCACGAGGATACTCAAGGAAGGCTGCTAATGGATTCCACCCTCCATTCTTTCCTTCTCTTTTACAGGAATGACTCCATGGAATTTAGCTGGGCACATAGATGCTAGCTAGAGTCTTTTTCTATCTTCTCTTTCAACGATGGTTGTTCTGAGACTAAGACCTCAACAATGAATTGGTCATAGGCACCATGAACACACATTCCAAGTTTCACCCTTTGGAAACAGCTTTCCCCTCTCTTGCTTACAGTCTTCGGCTTCCTGGGATGGAAGAACATAACATGGTGGTGAGCTTCAGCTACACAGCCTACTGCATGTGATGATGGAGCAACAAGATCACCGGGACCTGGGTCCTGGGGCACCTCGTGGAGCAGATCTGGCTTGCCAGAGCTGGCCCACTCACCTCTAGGGCACATGTTAGAGAGAAAAGTACTTGTCCATCTCCCCCTCCCCCACTATATTTCTTGGGTGTCTTGTTTCAACATCAAATTGACCTGGATCCTAACTACTACAATGCCCAGTAAAATGTTCCTTGGCTAACCTTCTAAATGTTAAGATCCCAAAAGGGATTTTTCTTTATCTACCTTTGCCTTGTTTATTGCTCCAAAAATAAGGCAGGAATATCTATGTGGCAGATAAGAACTTGTGTATTACAACAATATATCATCATATGGTTTATTATCAAAATGCTTTCACAAAGAGTTTCTACTCATTGCCCACATGAAAATAGCTAATACCTAGGGAGTGTGAAACTCTCGCTAGTTTCTAGACTAAGTACATGGATTGTTTCATTCAATTCTCGTCAAAGCCCTGTAAAATTAGTACTTTTATTAACCTGATTTTATAAATAAGAAAACAAATCTTAGGACATTAAAGATTAAATAGCAGAAAGATAGCTGAGCCAGGATTCCACACCAGGTGATTAGAAATGTCCCTGATTGTAACCCTCACCCAGTGCTGCTGACTATAGAGGAAATTTTTATTCTACACAAGTTCTTTCCAGTTGATGGTCATTTCTACATACTTTCCAAGAAGGACACTGTGCACTTGATAAAAAAAATCCTTTAGTTTAAATAAAAAAGGTTAAAATCGGCTACAAGATTTAGATAATTTAGGTTTGGCTCAAATCATTTAGATTTTGCAGATCTTGAAATTCAGGACTGAAGCACCCAGGACAGGACAGCTCTCCTCTGTGGAAGTCTCAGGACTGACTTATGTCAGCTTCCTTCTTTCTCTTCCGGCTGTTCCACAGCTCAGACTTGGGTCAGTGTGGTGTGGGTCCTGACTCTTCTCCCTCAGGAGTCCCTGAGGGGTCGCTTGTCTCCACCTTGGCACTGCTGTCCACCCAACGCACACAGAGGTATTGCTAACAATTTGATGTGGGCCGTCTTCCATCTGCTCTCCAGCCTTACTTTCTGCTTATAGCCATGACTTTTATCTGCTAGATAAGACTCTGACCAAGTCACTTTCACACAGGCCCAATGTCAACATCCTGGAGTGGAAGGGAAACGGCACATCACGGGTTTCCCAGATAATGACCTTCAAGCACCTCTGCAGATTTTTCAATCCTTCATGGTCTGTGACTCTCCCTTAGTGACATGATAATGGAGTGTCTCTTGCCCTTGCCTTTGCTCTATAGATGTCACCTTTTCCTAAGCAGATCTCTAGTCATCCCTGAGCATTGAGTCACCATGTCAGAGGGTGATGACAAGGCCATAGTCTTCTTATGGTCCCACTCAAAGGATGGCAATTTTTCTTTTTCTTTTTTTGCAAAGGGCCAGATGGTATATTGGTTTTACAGGATATTACTTCTCAGTTGGCTGCTTAACTTTGCCAGTAGCGTGAAAGCAGCCATGGACGTTTATATATATACAATACTAAAGTCTGCACTTCATTATGCTATATTGTGCCTGCAGTATATAGAATATAATATTTATTTTATTAATTAAAAGTATGTTTTTATCACTTCATTCATGGTCCTTATGAGGTAGTAAGATTAGGGCATGTTTAACTTTTCGTTTTGGTTATAAATATTCTCTTAAAAATAACACACATTACTTTTGTAACAAAAAATAGAACACTTTAAAAGTGGATTTAAAATAACAGGAGTGTACCTAATTGTTGTATTATTCTTGGTATTACTGCCCTTTTCTCTTAATAGAACTGACACCACCACACACTCAATCACACACACACACACACACACACACACACACAATCAACTCATTTTCTCAGGTGAACTGACTCTGCTTTCAGTTGTAGAGTAGGCCTGGTTATCCAAGAATAATCCTGTTCTCTGATTGGACATCTGTCCCATTTTGAACCAATGAGAAATGATCATGTGATCCAATGTGGACCGATTTGCACCAGTGAGAGAAGGATTCATGGGAAAGTCCTTCATTGCTCTTAAGCCAGAGCTTCCCGAAGGACCCCACCCTCTCCAATGAATGAAGAAATGGTGGGATCTCAGGAGCCACCTTGTACCACAAGGGGACCTGTCCTAGGATGAAGCTGCTCTGTTGAGACCCTGGTTTGGTCAACCCGGAACCCCGCTGTGACTACAATTCCAGACATAAGAGCCAGTGAATGCCCTTATTGTCTAAACCCATTTAAGTTGGTTTTCTGTCACTTTTTGCCAAAAGCAGAATTATCTGAAGAATCCAGTCTAGAACAATGGTTTTTCTTTAATAACAATATCTTTGGCAAAAATAATTTTATAGTTAAAATAATTGTTTCAATTCTCCAGTTCATTTTGCAAAAATGCTTGCTATTAGTCTTAATATCAGGCTTTTCAGATTTGGAACCTGGCAGGTGTACAATCTCTGTTTTTCCAAAGTACAAATTTACTGCTTCAATATAATCCTCTACCAAAAGAATATCAAATGTTGATAACAGCCAAAGTAATCGAGAAGGAGCCAACCTATCCTCCTGTCCAGTGAATGGAAGGATTAATAGTACCTCCATGCAAGTAAGTATTTGGTTACATTTCAGAACAAATCCAGCTGGTCTTTGATTTACTAACATCTTCTCACAGTGACGCAGATATTCTGAAAGACGACCCACTTTCTGGGTGTCCAGAGACCTCGAGAGACTAAAGCCGTATCTTGGATGGAATTCACCCAGATGTCTTGCCAGCTCACGCTGGGTTTAGGCTGCAGCTATTGTTCTTTTACATAACTTCTCGGGCTCTAAAGCTGCACTTACTTTCTATTGCTAAAGAGTCACCAAATTTTGCCTGGTCCGAATCAGGTATAAAAGAACTGGAGAAATGCTACTCCAGGTAATTACATATATTTTAAAATTTTGCTTTATTAAGATATAATCTACATGCAATAAAATTCAGCAATTTTAAGTGTACCCCTGAATGCATCTTGG